TTCATGACGCATGCGTAATACACAGCAATTTTCTCTGCACAGGCAGCGATGCAAACCTAAAGTTGCCCACTGCCTCTCCAGCAGTGCGGGGGAAACATGGTTCAAGTCAAAATTGTGCCGTGTAGAACACACGGAGGATTCAACGTGCCTTAGGCAGTGTTAGTTACTGCAGGCCTGGGAGCAACCGGCTGGGCTCGGCCACAACCCGGCCTTTCAGAACCTTATAGTCCTCCTTAAGTAGATAGAATATGGGGTATATGGGGATCTTATTATAATATGCCCAAAGCCGTATTCTATCTACTTAAGGGGGACTATAAACTGATGTCATCATGGCTTAGAGGCCACTTGGTGCTGCTTTGTCTGGGGGAAACCATCTGTCCTTCGGGTACATGACCTGGCCACTGGGGAAGGCTTTGGCCGTGATGAAACCTGGAGGAAGGCCGCGGCTGCCAACTGACTGCTTTGGGATCCAGCCACCTGGCCAAACGATCTCCTGCTTCGGGCCTCCCTTCATCAAACCGCGCGGTCTTCGCCCTGGGGTAGGTCGAAGTGGGGAGAGCTCGGGATCCGACTTGTTGCGCTGGACTGAACGGCGGCCTCCGTCTTCGGGTGCATGGAAGGCTGCGGCTAAGTCACTCATGGATGCATAGGGCGAAAAAAGGCCATGCGCTCTACGAACAGCAGTGTGCCTTGCTGGCGCACCAAAGACTTGTCCGCTGGGTGGAGCCTGCATATCGGGCTCCACTTCCCACGGGTTGTAAGCATCCGGATCTAATGGAGGCAGCTCCAAGGGGGGTGCCTTCAGCTGGTTTGCGCAGTTGTGCAGGTCTGCCCAGAGCTGTGCCGATTCAATCTGATGCCTGTAACGGTTCCTTGACCAGTCTGCTCTTTCCTTGTCCCAAACTTTTCGGTTTTCCAGAAAGCGGCCAAGCCTTTCCAAGCCCTTAGAGCTCTTTGCATAGATTTCCTTGCAGAGCAGATCATGATGACTAAAAGCTGGCTCAGGGTCTGCTCGTAGGATCTCTTCAGAAGACTCGGCGCCAGCGGCTGATGATGGCTTCAACATAAGTCTGGGAAGGCCTCCTCTTCACAATGGTCTCCTGCCTGCCATTGGGGCGCCTAAGCCTTCTTGGGTGGCCTTTGCTCCATCTATAGCAATATATGTCCACTAGTGTGGCAGTGCGGCATGACGCTGTTCCTGTTCAAACGTTACCGGGAGGTTATGTGCGACGCATCTTGAACCCAGAACAGCTTGCAGGCAGCGCAGCTCCACATAACTGCAGCTGTGTAGTGCAGAGACTCCCAATTGAAGAAAGATTTTGTCGAGCTCTGAATTTTTAGCTCGAAAAGGAATGAATCAATGAAAGAGCCAAGTCCCTTGACAAGCACCTGGCGAGCATTTGTATGCAAGGCACGCGGTTGCGCAGGTTCTACAGTGGTCATCTCAGGCAGCTCACACGAGAACGACTCGCCCAGCATGGAAGGGCAAGAATTCCCACCTGGCCAAATGACGTTGTGATAATGCTGTATCCCACATCCTTTTTGTTTGCTGTCTGAACATATTCTAGGGTGCGAGGTTCTTGAAGAAAAGTATCCTGTGTGTACGTACAGTACGAGGCTAGACTTTCTAATATCTCGGTGTTCGGCACTTTGTGTGCAGAGTCAGCGCGTCTTTTTTGCCCTCCGGCGAGGCTCCCAGCCGGGACTTGACGGCTTGTAGTAGACCTCGAACTTTTCCTGCGGAATTAAGCTGCCTGAGTAGGACACGGCACACCTACAGCTTCCAGCAGCAGGGGTTCTCACTCATGGATTGCGTTCAGTGCTTCAACATAGTTTTGACGCAAACAACAGTCAGATGTCAGGAGGCTGGAGCAGCTCTTGTGGAAGTGCATCAGGATCGTGCAGGGCTCCTGGTGCTCTCTCAGCACACACTGAGTAGCTTTCGAGCAGCAAACCGAAAATCTCGAGAAGTTTAACTAGCCTGCCGAGACACCAAGCAGCATGCCGAGAACAACACCTCGCGCGGCTGAGTCGCCACCCAAAATCGCATTGACAGACAAAGCATGCTCCAAGGCATACCTAGGCTCCAAGCTGAGACAAACGCAGCTAGCCTGGGCAAACCCTGGCAAGCAGACCGTTGGGAAAAGCCCTTGCTAGAAAAGGTGAACAAACACAAAAACATGCCAAGCTGGCATAGGTGCTTGGCATATCGAAGGAGAAGGTACAACACTGCCGTCAATCCAGGAATCATCGGGGAGGCCTTCCTGCAAAAACTGCCCAAGCAGAACGTCTACCTAACAAGCAGCCATCACCTTCAACTCTGAAAGCATCAATTACCAGCTTTACACCGGGCGGCCCATGGTCTCCCCAATACGGGCACTCAGCCAGCTTGCAAGGGTACGAGAATGACTTCACGAGGCCCTGGTCCGTCAGTGCGAAAGTGCGAAGTGCCAAGTCATCTCTTTCGACGTCGTCCGTGGTCCAGGAAGCACCGTCCTGCCGCATTTGCGGTACAACTGGAGCCGATCGGCTTCTATCTGCAAATGCCGGCTCAAGTTGTTTTGAAAGACCTGCGAAGGATCCCTGCCGGTGTACTCAGGGAGGTGTTGCTCTAACAAATGGAAAAAAAAAAGCGCATGGGAAGCAGCGGCAGGCGAATACAAGGCACAGGAAGCTGGCAGTGTAGCTGGAGTTGGGCTTGAAGTACTAAGGGTTCAGTGTGGAGTGGTGTGCCTCTGGCGCACCAGCCATGACATGCTCCCAAATCGAGCGATAGCACCCCTAAGCCTACCACATGCGGGTTGCCATGCCCGCACACATACCTCGGGGAAAGACCTGAGCCTTCTTGGGCATAATGTCACCTCATGTTTTGTTGAGGCTGTTGGCCAAGACCTCTTCGACCGCTGCTACCTTCTCTTCCACCGCGTCCAGGATGGACATAACGAGTCTCCTGCTTTCAACACCACGTGCCGGGAGCAAGAAACCCTTTCCAAACAAATAGCGTATGAGGGCGGACCTGAGGCTGAGTTCAACATGCAAAGCCGGTCCTTCCCCTCAGTTGCATCTCCTGGGCAATTCGCCGCATGAAGGACATCCTGGGCACTTGGAAAAGCAAACGAAGAATTCAGCGCACACAACAACTACGAAAATTGTTGATCAAGTCCGGGCAGTACTGCAGCATTCCAAAGGTACCCACTCTACAGGCTGCGTCATGGGCACTCCCTTCGGCAACACCTGTCCCATGCAGTCCCGCGACAGGTCACTGCGAGCAGAAGCCTGGTTCTGCATCAAACCACCTGATGCAAGCTTGCCCGTGACTTCAACTCAGTATGAAGCAACTTTCATTCTGGCGAGGACATTCCATGTCTATATGTCACGAAGGTTTGCAACACACAATCTCTCACAATTGCTTCCGGCATTCAGGCAGTGAGGCTCTCGAGAGCAACGTAGTAAAGTTGGCACTGGCACCGGAGCATACCGACCTACTTCTACTTCTACGTCTAACATCTATATCTACATTACCCTAATGTCCCCCAATCCACGTAAGCTGTCATCAGGCCTCAGAACTCAGAACTGAAGAACTCAGGCTGGTACATCCATCTACGGGCAACTGTCCTAGCTGCTTCCACCTGGAAAATCACCTCTTAAAACCACCCCCCCCTAGAACTCAGGAAGCGCTTGACCTACTCAAGGAGGCGGGAGCACAACACGAGGAAGCTTGACTGAAACAAGTGGAGGCCGAGGCAGGCTAGAGAACACATGGGACTGAACACGACTGACCTGAGCCCACAGACCAGCTCAGTAAGTCAGGAGAACCTGGTGGCGCAGGACAGCACGGGCAGATCGCCACCAGCATCATCATCATCATCATCATCATCGTCATCATCATGCAGGAACCGTTGGGCTACATTGTACGAAACGACAACGATGACGACGACCATGAAGACGAAGACAATGACGATGGCGACGACGGCGGCGATGACGACGACCCTTTCAGAATGCTGAGCCTAGAGGCCATCATGACTCCAAAGAAAAACCCCTGCCCAAGGGTTTAGGGTTTGGGGAAGACTGACTGTGAATTTCCAACTGTGATGCAAATGTTCTTGTGTTAGACACACAAAGTGCTTGACGAGAAGCAGAACATGAACGTGATTATGGTTTGGACATACATGCTCGAGGAAACGTATGCACAGGAAACACGAACGTTGTTCTGGAAAGTGTATGCGCTTGGAACACGAGCGTTCTTATGGTTTGGGCATGTCTGCTCTGGCAAACGCACACACTTGGAACACGAACGCCAATATTATTCCAGCATGGATGCTATGGAAAATATATGCACTGGAAGCACAAATGTTAGTATGGTTGGGGCACGCATGCGCTGGTCATCGAAGTCTCATTAAACCACGGACATTAGATGACAACAGTATGGTGGGGGCATGAATGCTCTGGCAAGCACATGCACTTGGAACCTAAGGCTGTCATGGTTGGGCAGGGATGCTCTAGAAAACGTATGCGCTGGGAACACAAAAACTAATATGATTTGGGCATGGATGCTCCGGGTAACGTATGCACTCGGAACATGAATGCCAATATCGTTCAGGCATGTATGCTCTGGAAAACATATGCACTGGGAACACAAACAATAATTTGGTTTGGGCAGCTCTGGTCATCGAACTGTTGAAAAAACTAATGTTCTTAAGGTTCGGGCACGGATGTCTGGCTAGGGCACCCACTGGGGCACCCACTCGGAACGCAAATATTCTTATTGTTTGGGCATGGATGCTCTGGAATCTGGAAGACGTATACACTTGGAACACGGAGGTTCATGTGTGTTCTTATGGTTTGGGCATGGATGCTCTGGAAAACATACACACTGAGAACACGAACTCCAATTTTGTTCGAGCATGGATGCTCTGGAAAACGTAGGCACTAGTTAGAAGCACCAACAATATTCTGGTTTGGGTAGGCATGCGCTGGTCATCGAAGTCACGAACATTATTCTGGTTTGGGCATGGATGCTCTGGCAAGCACATGCCACTCGGAATACAAAAGTTGTGGCATGGCAAGAATTTTCTGGTGAGAGACGAACGCTTGCTAGGCGTATAGTACCCCCTAAGTAGATAGAATATGGCTTTGGGTATGCTATAAGAAGATGCCCTCATATCCCATATTCTATCTACTTGAGGGAGACGTCAAAACCATAACACCCACCCTCCTCCACTACCAACCTGTAAAGCTAAAGCTTCAGATTCCCGTAACTCAGTTCCAAGTACACGAAGCACGCTCGAATGACAACTTGAATCCTACCCCTGTAATCCCCTGTACACCGTGGCACCTGTGAGGAGCGTGAGGAAATTGCAAATGGCCAGTGAGGCTTCTGTCGCATATTGCAAAGAGGCTGCTTCCATGGCCTCAGGCAGCACTTCTTGCATCTTGCTTGGCTTTCCAAGCTTCCAAGCTCAAAAATTCTCAGCATGGGAACCGCTTGCGAAACAGAGCTCCCGGAGCATGACATGCGACGGCTCTGGGCCTTTCCGCAGGAACATTTTCTGGCTGCTCATGCCAAAGCTGAAATGTCCCAACGTGTCCGGACACTGGCCTGCCGTCGAGCTCCTGACAGTGCTTTTGCTCCAGGCAGTAGCAGCGCACCTGACATGCGCAAGTGCTCGGTGCTGAGAAAGTACATGCAGCAAGGTCGGCAAGCCAATTAGTCAAGGAGCATGCACGTACCTCAGGTTCGTCAGGACGGTCGTCTACATTGCTTTGGATTGCCCAGCAAGTGATTCCACCGCAGAGATCCCCACCCAGAGCTTCACATTCCCTCTGTGCCTCCAGAACACTGAAGCGCAAGAGTCATGGGTGCAGGTCAGCAGCTTGGTGGAACTTGCTCAACACCGTTCTGTTTACTTCTCTGCTGCCCTCCCTAGATCTCCCTGAGGAAGATTCTCACACTATCTCAGCCTCTTGCTCTGCCGCCGGAGGCCGGAAAGGCTGAGCGAGCTGGGGTGGGAAGGGCTCCAGAAGCTCAAGAACTTCTGCGGACCACTGGCAAGGCTCGGCCTGGAGGCAAAGAGATCAAAAAATGCTGCACCCACGCTTGACATGCAAGCTTCCAGGTTTAAAGGCCTCTGTGCTTCTGAGAAAAATGCAGTGCTTGCAAAAAGTGCGGATGTGAATGAAAGGCGGACGGACACGCCACAGCTGCGCGAAATGTATCAGTAAATGGATAATACGACCCTTTGGCCTTTCCCTCCTTGCTCAGGATCCCGCATGCTTGTTCATGAAGCTTGCTGGACTCTGCACATGATGCCTGCCTTGAACGGCGCTTGGAAAGCTGCAGCAACAAGGGCAGGCACCTGTAACAATATCATGTGACCAAGCCAAATTTGCTCAGACTTGAAATCAAAGCAGCCGCCCTTGGATGCTATAGGTTGCACACGACAGGCGCCAAAGAAGTCCTCGGCAGGCGGCCAGCCCAGTCTGCCAGGACTCTTCACCTCCATCCGGAAATTGCTACCTAATGCCACATCAGCTTGCGGTGCACACGAAAATACTTCCGAGTCACCTTTGCCGCTCGTCCCTCCAAGATGGCCTTCGTGGCCATGTTCACGTAACCCTGCGTAGGCAGCGTGTTGCTCTGCTCGCTTGGCATGCTGCATCCATGAACCCCTGCAGGCCGACCTGATAAGTCTGAATCCATGCTAGCCAGTAGTCATGAAAACCACTCAGCGACCAAGGCTGGGTGGCCAAATACTCAAGCGTCATCACAACGCAGTCTCCGTAATCTGTCAGGTCACCTCCCTTCTTTCCTGGGTGCCAATTCCTCATGTCCACACCTACCAAGGCAGCTCAGGGAAGTGCGATGTCTCCCTCTCCCAAAACCACTGGTTTGCAGCCTCATTTGGCGACCTTGCCTGGGAATCCAGGTGTCACTGCCAATCCCAACACCTCCGCGTTTGCCCGCAGCTTCTTGGCCAGCGCCGGCACTGTGCCGTTGAGGTTGATTCCTAACAGTGTGATGTTGCTTTTCTTGTCAGGGGGGGGCGCCTGTACCAAGTATTGCTATGTTTGCCTTGACATCAAAAAAGAATTGGCACACCTGGACAAACACGGACCGCCTCAACAGAACGTGGGCTCCCTCCTGAAGAGAGCGCTTTTGCCGTGAACAAACTTGGGAAGCAACTATTTGCCACCACAGCGCTGTAGAAGTCACGAATCTTGCGGTAGTCATATTCATAATGGGTCTGTAGAGCCAATGCATCGCCTTCACACGACAGCGCGACAGCCCTATGTCTCCTGCAGCTGCCTTGCCTAAGGATGAGGAAAGGTGGTCTCTCTCAAAGAAAAGCGCAAACAAAAATCTGGCCTAGCAGTGAGCCCAGCACTGCTGCACTTGCGCGATCCCCCATCCCCAGCTGAATGTCTTCGGGATCAGACACCCTCTGGAAGAAGCCTTGGAATTGGAAGAGGCTTGTGCCCAAACTGCTCCAGCCAAGTTTGCGTGAGAGCCTAACAACAAACAGCACGACGACTGATACACTCCAGTCCAGCCACTGGATGCTTTCTTGACCCATTCCTGCAGCGGAATGATCTGAAAACGCCAAAGGGCGGCCAGCAGCACCAGGATGTTGACGAGCCCATCAGCTCGCAACATGCTGACACATGCTCCAGGACTGATGCTAGGTTCAGTGCAAACATTGCTCCTGCTCCCTAACATAATGTCAGTAGTAGGGAAGCCCTCCACATTACTTTTGCATCGTGCATCAGGCCAGGCCTTCAAACCTTTCTCGAGCAGCAAGCGACACGTCTCATTTGAGCTTCCAATAATCGCCAGGACATGCAAAAGTCAGGTTCAGTGCTTGCATTTTCTGCAGGAACACCCCTACACAACCCCGATATGACCCCTGTATAAAACCCTTATATTCCCCTATATGACCCCTGAATAAACCCTTTATAACCCCTATATAAAGAATCAGGGGCGCGCGCGAGGCCTGTGAAGTTCACGCATCGAACTGAACACAAGCTAGTGTAGACCCATACTGAGGGGAAGGGATTTAATGATCGGGGGTCTACACTAGCCATCTCAAACTTTCTCCCACATCAGTTGCTGACACCGAAAGATTTTCAACGCTGATGATATGGGTAGCTCCCAAAATTAGGGTCTCATTTTCGTGCCGTAAATATTAGGTGCCGTATCATATTTCATAGATAAAAAGGGGCCCAGATTTTTTCAGAATAACCCATATGCTGGCACTATCCCGCAAGCTAGAGGGACTCCTAAGTTCTGTGGCAACAGCTCCAGCAACGAATTGCATTGATGGGCACATTGAGAATTCCAGATGAGGCTTGCCAACGAGGATTCGTGTGGATGGGGTGGAGAGCAGTGGTCAAGTCCCTTGATGCATACTATGACCCTGCAAGACAGGCAATGGCAGGCAAATGATGGCCGGCACACGGGATGAGGAAGGGCCTCGGCATGAGGATGCTTGACTCTCATGGAACATCATGGAACACTTGGAGGGAGATTACCCCATTTCTTGGGCTGTTGAACATGCAACTGAATGCGATCCAGACTTCCGGAACAAGAAAGGCTCATCAACGATTTTCCTGGCCCTGCTCTATAATGATACTATAATGCTACTATGGTAATACTACAATGATACTATAATGATACTATGATAATGCTGTAGGGGAGCCCATTCAACTCGCAGGACATTGAGACTAAGCGCGGAACGCCCGCGCCAGGCGCGCCTGCTGCTCTGGTGACAGCCCCACTGGGACACCGGTGACCTCGGCGGGAATGGTCTGCAAACTTGCCTTACATGCTCAGATCGGTTTTTGCACCACTCTCATCGCCCGCTCTGAGAAGGTCAGCGCAATCCCACAAGCAAAAAATGCCCTGCACTCATGAAACAGCACGTCCCTTGCGCCACATCAACGTTAGCCGCTAATGCCCCATGAGATCGCAAAACACGATGCTGTTCAGCAAAGCCACAATTCCCTAGCTCAGTACCCCGCCGCAATTCTGAGGGGCCGCTGCCTGCGTAGAAGGCCAAAGGCTTTGGCGTGGCTCCCAGCAAACAGCCTCGGTGCTTTGATTAGCATAAGGTTTGTGGCAGTCAAGCTTCTACATTACGCAATGTCAAGCCCATGTTCAGCTTGGATTGTAGACCCTGGACTCCTGCCCCACCCCCTCCTGAGTTGGATTTCAAGCACCGCTTCCTGTAGCATGAGAGAAGGTGGAGTTGCGGAGTGTAGGACGACAGCAGAATCAATAGAAGGCGATTGCCTGAACATCATGAAAGATAAATCCATCAGCGTAAATATCAGCAAACCCATTTGCTTGCAATGCGGATCCTCCAGCAGTCCAGGATTTCCTGATTGAAGGTACACAAGCGTTCCACACTGGCTAGTGTCCCACGTGGTGCCAGTGTTTGGCAACCTGCCATGGGCTTGTACGCTACCTCGAGGACTCAGTACTTGCTCTAGCCAGGCTTGTTGCGTTCCACTTCTTCTTCTCCTTCTTCTCCAGAACAACCATTGCACCAAAGGCATTGTGTCGGCGGAAGAAGGACGTGCCTGGATTCCGTCACCTTGAAGGCTGGTTGAATGTGGACCTCGCACATGAGGCTAGGAATATGAAGCTGAAGGCGACGAGCAGTAACAGCACATTCCTGTTCGTGTCACCGCTTCACCCCCCGTCTCTCTCTCCATACCTCCTCCATGCCTTTGAAGGAGATGCCGACCCAACTTGCAAACTCGTAGCACTCACGATCCTCATCGTTGTCCTCTTGTGCATAGGAGGAAGTCGCTGGAGGTGCAACGTTCGGCAGCTCCTTGCATGCCTGTTCGTATGCCATGACGAGCCGTTTGGCCACCTCCGTTGCAATGGACACACAAAGCGCTCCCTGAACAGCCCACTTGTCAGGGTGCCATTTCCGCGCGAGCAGAAGGTACCTCTTCCTGGCAGACCGTCTCTCTGAATGGCTTCCAAGCCATGCATCAGAGAGCGCAAGTTTGCCTATGCCCGGTGTGTTCCTCTCCAAAAGATCGAGAAGCTTTGAAGGAGTCTCCTCCCAATCCATGTGATGAGACGATAACCCTTGACACATCTGCTCCAGCGCACAGCGCCGCTCTCGCAAGGCCCGCAGCTTTTCGTCTCGCTGCTGCGCCTCTCTGGCACGGGCCTCCTCCTCTGCTTGCCGACGTGCCTTTTCAGCTGCAAGGCGCCTTGCTTCAACGCGGCGGCAATGCTCGGCCTCGGCCCGTTCCTGCTCCAGTCTCATGCGCCGGTGGACGACCACCAGTCGTCCTAGAATGCCGCGAAAACGCGCCTGGATCCTGGTAGCGGCAGCACTGCGCAGGTCTGGGGTTGGCTTGGGTGGTGCGACATGTGAGGCTCCACGACTCGGACCCCGGCTTGCATGCCTGTGGGAAGCCTTTGCCGTGCACTTTGCCTTGCCGGCTGCCTTCGGCATTCTACCGGCAGAGCCTTGAGGGAAAAATGCCTCTGGAAAGGAGCTAAAATTCAAGCCAGAGAGTGCTGGATGGTTTGCTTGACAACACAGCAAAATTACCCACAAGCTCAGCCTGAAGCCTGGAGGATCGCTCATCTTTCGAATCGTACGCAATGGTGCAGGCATACCTGCAAAGGACCAAAGAAAAATGGTGAGAGGCCCCCTTCTGACTGCCTCTTCAACCTTCCTGTTTAATTAGCGTGTCTGAGCTTCTCCCAGATCGTCTCGCAGATCTTTACCTCGCTGCACTCACTTCAGCGCACTTTCGCGCCCGACGCTGCAGTTGGTGGGCAAGGTGGGCTAGTTCGGGCTCCCGCCTGAACTCCAAGTGCTGCGTGACACACAAGCTGCATTTGATGGCTTTAAGGTCAAGCTGCAAACTGACCCTTGCAGGCAACATCTTGGGCTCTGGCCCTTCATCGGCCCAAGCCCCACCACAAACTAGCCTCCATGGCTGAATACCTTTGCCAGGCCGTGCCAGGAGGCTGCTCAACACAACATCCGCGTTCTGGGCGAATGGCCCAAGACCGACAAACCACAAACCTGCATGGCCAAGAACGATTTGGTATGAAAACATTGATGAAATCGAAATGGTCCACATGCTTCACAAACGAGGATGGCACTGGCCGGCCGGCTGCTCGGAGAACATAATCGCCCCTCTCCAGCGCAGGCACCTTTCGCTACCCGGGGACTCAGAGCCGCCTATGGACCACTCATGAACCCACTCAAATGAGTGAGGAAGGTCAGCCTGTGGCTACTGCATGCTACTACACGCTCGTCGGACGCACATACAGTCACTTGCTTGCATAGCAACTTTTGCCACCATACCGTGAAGGCTGATTCCAAGCCGGTTCCAACATCGCCCGTTTGCTGTGGCCAGCCTCTCTTGCATGGCCAACGGGCCAGCACAAGTTGGCCATTTTGTGCTCATGATGAAAGATCGCCACTGCGCTACTCACCCGATAAACAATGCAAGACTTTTGGCGACTCCGCAGTCTGGTGGACACAGCATGTTAAGTTGGGGCTGCGTCAACTGAGCAAGCGACTGGCTCTGGGGCGTCTAGTTGGTCAAAGACGAACTGGTGAAACAAGGAGTGACCTGACTGCACCGAGAAATCACGGGCAATCTTCTGACCTCTCAGCACCTCTTCAGGGAAACTGAAATGTTCTGTACCACGGTCTTGCCATGGCAGGTGCATCTGGGGCCATGGCGCTCTCTTATTGCCTGCTCCTCTCAGCTACGTACAATGGCAATTGAAACAGCAAAAACATAATAAACGAACTCAGAAGGAATCGCATCCAAAGCAAGCTGCTTCCCTAATGCTGTGCATCGAAAGTAAAGGAGTCAAACAACACCTAGCATGTATGTGCAAAACAGCATCCCTGCATTGCTGGGTTGCAACTATCGCCTCGTCTTCCTGGACTCGTCCAACTTCCCCATCACCTGGTTTCTGCCCCAGGGTGCAAGGAGCTTGTCGCGACCTAAAGCACATGCCTTATCCACACATGCCAAATCAGTAGAACCAAATCCATCCAACCCCTTCCGCTCAACCTTTTTGTCCAGGCCGGACGACTGGAAAAACGTCGGCATGGCAGCTTCCGTCTCTTCATGGACAGAAGTTAGTTGGATTGGAACATGACAGGGCAAAGCCCAGGCGTTCATGGCCTGACCTGCTGCTCTGAATTCTTCCACGCCATACTGTAAAACATTGAAACTGCTTTGTACCGCCTCCAACGGTATGGTAGAAAAGCTGCTCAAATCACACGAAACGACTCCAGCCATCGCCTGGGCCCAGGTTTCAGGAGGCTGCTCATTTAATGTGGATCGCATGCCAGGGCCCTGGCACGGCCAGAGTGGAGAATCATCTCAGCCAATCATCTTGCGTGCCTCACATAGCTGCGATCGCCTCGGCCTTCTTGACAATTGCATCGGCCTGCTTCAAGCGTGACAGGAGATGCCGGCCAGCTCCAAAATTTGAGAGCATGCATGTTCGCATCCTAGCTGGGTTGTGGTTCACATGTTGTGCCGCAAGGCCTGCTTGATGGAGGCGATGTCCACGAGCTTTCCGTCGAGGGAGACAGCGCCGAGGCCCTGAGCAGGAATTCGAGGCTACAAACATTAACGCCCGACAAATGTGGAAGCTTGTGCCTCTCTCTGCGCGTTCTCCATGGCTTCCAAGACACCTCTTCCAACACGACTGATACACTGAACTATAGATAGGCCTCACGCAACCACTGCCTGCGTAAACGAGCTTATGGCCAACTTGAAGTGTCTACTTGCAGGAAGGCGTCGTCTGGCTTGCTTCACTTCAGCCTCGCCAGGGCTGAAAACTTCGTTCGCCAGCGCCACCTGGCAAGTTCAGACGCAAACTCGCCGCAAGGCCAATCACAGTCGAATCAGGAGCGAATCAACCTGCAGCTACCATGCACCCCATGGCTTATTAACTCACAACATGATGACGTAATGCCTCTGCTCTTGACAGGTGATCTTTGAAGCAGTCAATCGCCAAGTCTTTGCAGAAGAGACACATCAGAACGGGAACTGATCAAAGCAAGAACAGCTCCAAAATCAAGACCCATTCCGCACAAGCCCTGCCTGGCTGGGATGGATTGCCCACTTTCCCTCCATGCCAAGAGCAGCTCCACGTTCACATTGCGCCTCTGCAGGGATGACTTTGCAAGCTGAAATTTCACAACTTAGATCCCCAAATGACCTTGTAGCCATCAGGGTCTGCAATGTCACCGAAAGGACCTGAGGCCATGCGAGGGAGGCAGCTGCCAGAGTGGATGCGGGGTTCCACCGTCTCAAGTTGCCCAGATTGGGAACGAGCAGCCGTCCACGGGACGAAGGCCGTTTGCGCGAGCAGCCACGACGATCCTCTTGACATATCAACTATTGGAAGTCACCCCGAGCTGCTTGCCATTCCTTAAGCTTTCAGTGCTGCCTGACAAACTGGCCCAATGAGGGTGTGCAAGCGCTATCGTAGGCGCAGATAGAGTGAGCTGTAGACAAGATGATTCATTCCTAAAAGTGCTGCCTGACAGGATATTCCTGGGTTCTGCTTGCGTCCTTGCCATCGCGTAGTGCCATGGGTCACCCCAAAAGAAGTCTCGAGCTTTGTCGCCGTCCTTGCAGCCATGAAACGACACATCCCTGCATCTGAAGCCAGCCGGACAGCATCCTTAAGCTCGGCTTGAAAGTTTTGCAAATTAAGGATTATAGTATCTTGGGGTCTATATTGGGGTACCCTAATTTTGGGAAACTACCATATAGGGTTATATAAAGGTTACATAAGGGTTATGTAATCCTGGAATTGACAAGACTAAAGGCACTAATCGCTCGCAGGTCCTTGTCTGTTAGCACGCCATAGAGCTTGTTGGGTCCTCCGATGTTGGTTGTCCGAGATTTGGTGGATGCTGCATAATCCTGAGAAAGAAGCACGAAGAGTTGCCCAAGCAAAAACGGCGGCAACGCGAGCATGAAAGCAGCTGCTCAGTCCAATCCGCAATGGCCAGGTCACACCTAGAATTGAACCGCCTTTGGCTTACATAGTTGACCTTCTGCAAAACTCAACAAGTGTCAGCCACGCCGAAGTGGAGAGACTCGTTGCGCTTGGATGCTGCGGCAATCTCATGAATGTTCATCATACCTGCGCTGGCTCTGTATTCAAGCCTCTCAGAAACCCTGCTGTCAAGCTGAACCGTTCTGATGCCGTGCTGGGACCGTAGAGACCTCTTCAAGAGCTGTAGATGAGGTGTTGATCTTGCGCAACTCTTTGCAAGCAGTGGCCGCGGGCAGCAGGTGGGGTGCAAAAACCCCCAACACAGACAGGGGTAAGGGCATGTGAACCGTCACAGGATGCCTCATACTGTCTAGATGTTGCTAAGATTGTCGGGCATTTGCTTGCGTTTCATAAAATGGCTGTGGGCTTGAGCGAGTCCAGCCCCTCTCAGACGAGCAGAATATTGACAAAGAGAAGAACATGAAGAACATTTGAATCGAAGTTCATGTAATGTAGAGGCACACTTGGTCATGCCACTCTCTTTGGGCGCTCGCAGACCCCGGAATGCGAAGATGTGAAAAACTATCTAAGCTCACTAGTCAAAGGTCATTCTAGGTCAGATTTGAACCGCAACACCACTCTGAGCCAACGGTGGGAGGAATGGAGGAGTGCAGCATCCCGCTCTTTTACAAACATGTTGTAGATCATATGTAGGATTTTGCTTGGAGCCATGCCGTCTGTCCAACCAAAAGCATGCAAGGCGAGCCCGGAGGGAAAGAACCGCAGGCAAAAAACAGACAAGAACTTCCTACTAATCGTCATGTCTGGGTGCCCATGGTGGCTTCGATGATAAGGCCAAACCCGATCTTCTTCTTGCGCCCAATGAACTCCTCAAGTCGAGCGCACGGTTCTTCACAAAAGCCTCCCTTTAGCCTGGCGAACTCCATCTCTGAAACTGCCACACGGTCTGACAGCAGGCTGCCTAATTGCCCCATCATGATGACCAGAGAACTTCTACGGCAATTGTGGTTGCGCCCAAACCTCAAAGCCATGGCTTACGAAAGGCGAGTCCTCCACCTGGCTGACTAAGGAGTCTGCCATGTAGACGTCCTGGCAGCTCTGTCCCTTTGCCGTGCTGTCCCGAAGCTTGTCTTATCCCAGAGGCTCTGCCTCTGACCGGACACAAAACAACTTTCAAACGTCACCAGCTTTGGCAGACCCAAGCCTCGGCACGCACCTTTTCTTCACTGCGCCCACGACCCGGTTCAAAAATTGACTGCTTTCAGCAGCCGGAATCAACTGTGCCTGCGGCTATGATATCTGGCTGCGTTGCGTAAGGACATTGGCTATCAGACCTGCCTGCTGCCTCCCAGAGAAGGGAGCGATGGCAAAAACAGTGTCCACAGGATGTTGGGCCTTGACGGCTACAGTGGCTACAGCCATGCTAGATTCATGTGATATGTGATATCTTCAATCATCCAGCATGGGAGGACAAGCACTTGGGGCCGAACAACGCTTACAAGCCATAGGGGCAGAGGACTTCGAATTGTTGTGCAAAGACCTACAGAAGGCCATCGAATGCAAAATGGGTGAGGGATCAAGAACGGGTGAAACAAGGATCCGAAGCATTCATCCGCATCTTTAGATATCTTTAGAACAAGTTGCTCTTTGGGCACACCACTGCCCACTACAGACGGGCCTCGTTCCCCGAAACTGGCCTGAATTGGGGAGTCTGTCCCAGCGAAACTTATTGTCAGCAGCTGTGATTGTAACCGTTGTAAATACTTGCATTGACAATGGTAGTAGCAATAGCAGTCTGTAGCAGCAGCAGCAGCAGCAGCAGCAGCAGCAGTAGCAGCAACATTGTTGTTTTGGGTAGTACTGGCAGCAGCAGCAGCAGCAGCAGCAGCAGCAGCAGGAGGAGTCGTAATAATGCGTATACCGGTAGTAGCTGTAGTTATTGCCACCAATTTACTGTTGCTGCCGCTGCTCCTACTCCTATAGTCTAGCACCATAGTACTGGCACTAGTAGTTGTCACAGTGCAGTCACTCCCAGCAGGCTCAAAGAGATCTGCGTGCGTGGCAAAATTTCCCCGAAAAACAGAAAGGCAGGCAAAGCAGACGGACCTAGCCAGAGATGGGTCGAAAAGCAGCCCACACATGTTCTCAGGGAACCAGGGACACGTTCGTGTCCCAGCCATCTGTGCTCCCGCGTCCGAGAGGAAGACCGAGGGGTGAACAAACCCGAAGTAAAGGATGGCTTGACTCTGGCACCCAGTCAGCGCCCGAGGCAACCGTGGGGCTCTAGCCAATCTGCGATTCCGTATGGAGCCGCAGGAGGTCACTCAGGACTATCAAATCAGCCCAAGTGTTTGAACGTCGCTTGACACGGGAGAACGTGGCGGAGGCCCCAGTGTCATGTTCCTGGGCCGTGAGCTCCACCATCATGGCTGAGCATGGCTATTTCTTGGAGGACCCCTTGCTTGCTGAGAATGCGTTCCCCTCGTTGTCAGTGCGAAGGGGGACGGTGCGAAAGGGGATAGCGATATCCAATGTACCGGTCGGCTTTGCAGCCAAGATGAAGAGGATCAAGGAGGCAATCATTTCAAGGGCCCCGATCCTCCGTTTGGGATTGGTGTGCTGGAGGCAACAAGTCCACTTGCGCCACATCTATGGCAAGCCAATAGACATCACTCTTGGCAGGGTTTGGCTCTACCAGCCTCCAATCGCCGATCTTTTGTCGTCCTCCCCTGCATCACTGCTGCCGTGGCAGTCCTCACAGTGGGCACGTCGTAGACGGGCACGTGCTCCTCATGTCACAATGCTTAAGACCAAGCTTGCCAGAAACCGCACCAAAGCACCCGGTTTGCATCCTTGCTTAAGCGTTAGTTCCCAAACGTAACACGGCTGGAGGTGAGATGACATGTAAGCCTTTGCTATC